AAAGAGTGTCCTTGTCTTCTTTAGAGTTGAAATGTGGTCAGATCCATCTTCCATCACAGTGTTTCAGGCCGGCTGAGGTCTGTGAACATTAGTGGTCCCAGGCTTGTGTATCAGGACCATAGGGAAGGGTGGATCTCACTTGGTGGATCCATGTTTCTACTGCCACATGAACCCACCATCTCGCACAGACTGATCAGTTCTGAATATCTACCCCAAGCACACCAGGAACTGCTCTAAGTCTTGCGTGACACTCATTCCTTCTCAGGTCTGGGAGGGCCATCAAAATGAGCAACGTGTCCTACCATGTGAAGAGTGACCTGACGATGGGGCTGAAAGGTGACTGAAGGTTAGCGAAGGGCAAAGAACATATACTGGTGGAAATGCATAAGGATGTGTCATATTTTTATTTTTGTAAGTCTGATTCTCTAAGTGCTTGTGAAGTACTTTACTGTTGTATATGTGGTAATGCAGTAGTTCACAATATCCTTTTATTTTTGTATACTCCCCCTCCACAATAATCCCTTCCTGTTCAACTCATGCAGAGTAATTTAAGAAGACAAAAATTTATATATCATAATAAAATGCACAAACTGTTATACTGATGCATTCAGAGTTTCCTTCCTCATGCATTTATCCATTCCCTTGGTGTCTGTTGCCACTTTCCTATCCAGATGGGATGTTTTCCCTCTTTATCAGTGGAATGCAGACCAGCTCTCCGTGCTCCGAAGGCTGCGGGCTCAGAGGGCTGTTTCCATGACTTGTAAAATCTGCTCCATCACCTACACCCAGGGGAAGGCTAAACAGCTCAGGCAAGCGGGCACAGAACTCAAGTTTCCTGCCAGGCCATCTTTGCTGCTCAAAATTTCGCTGGTCAGCAGTTACTCACCCTAAATTTCTCTCTTGCTCAATCTTGTTCTTCCTGGTTATGAAGCCCTGGTGAGCGATTTAAAAGCTCAAAATTTCGCTGGTCAGCAATTACTCACCCTAAATTTCTCTCTTCTTGCTCAATCTTGTTCTTCCTAGTTATGAAGCCCTGGTGAGCGATTTAAATAATTCCTCTCGCAGCTTTTCCATGCCCTTCAAACCGCTGGGAGAAGCAAAGC